TAATTACATAAACTATAAATGTTCATATTTATTTACATGCATCAAAAACATTGCCCCGCAGGTCGTGCTTACTTATAATTACATTATTAATAAATGTTCATATTTATTAAACTACATAAAAATCATGGCCCCGCAGGTTGTGCTGGCGTTCGGGAACTACATTAACAATAAATATTAATTTATTCTTTTTCATAATTTATATCAATATAATGTGTAATATTATATTTTATTTTATTTATTTTATTTTATTTTCTTTATTTATAGTTATATTAATATAATATTATATTATATTTTTTCACATTTAAATATAATTTCTATATTAATACACAAAAAGGTTGTGCTGGCATTCGGCAACTACATGAACATTCATGTAGTTATTTCATTATATCGCGGGGACACTGAAGAAATATAATATAATAGGTATATAATATTATAATAAGATATATAATATTATATTCATATATTGATATTTATTTATAATTTATCTATAAATATATAAACAAAAAGGTTGTGCTGGCGTTCGGGAACTACATGAACCGCGGGCCCCGGGGCAGCGCCCTGGGCTTCAGGGTCTCGTCCCTGAACAAGCTGCAGGACACCAAGACGTCCTCAGACCGCACCCAGACCCTCCTGCACTACATCGTCGGGGTCTGCGAGACTACCTGGGCTGATGTGCTGGGTCTAGACCAGGACATGGGCGCTGTCAAGGAGGCTGCTAAGATCAGGTGCGGCGGTAGACCCTGGAAAATAAATGTGCTGGGTCTGATTAATGTGCTGGGTCTAATTAATGTGCTGGGTCTGAATAATGTGATGGGTCTGATTAATGTGCTGGGTCTGATTGATGTGCTGGGTCTGATTGATATGCAGGGCCTGATTATTGTGCTGGGTCTAATTAAAGTGCTGGGTCTGATTAATATGCTTGGGGACCGTCCCGACACCATCATGGAGCAGCGGGACCGTCCCGTAACCCCTTTCTCTACCTCCAGCCTCCTCTTAAATATTAATAAAGTTATTTCCTACTTTATTTTATTAGTTTACTTATGCGTCGGTATTTTGATCTATATTGCATCAGGTTGATTATATAGGCGCGCTGATATATTGGGCAACGTTCGCCCAGCGGTTAAGCACAGCAGAATAGGAGCAGCGAGTTGCGAGTTCGAGACCGCAACAAGCTGTGAATGTTCTGCGGTGTTGAAAATCGGTGACAGGCCTACAGCCTAATAAACGCTGAAACCGCTATTATTATTATATTGCAGTGCACGGCTAACTTTGGGAAGAATAAGGCTATTTATTGGAATCTGAAGCATAAACAAAAACAGCTACCGAATGATATGGCGTTAGGCGTAACATTAAATACGATAGAAGATATGGCGGGTTGGTTACACGAAACTGAACGGGCAGCTGGTCACTGGTCGGTGCACGCCCGACATTCTCCCTCTCCTCTGTCTCGCTGCCGACTGCCTCGTATGCGCGCCTGTGGCCTTATATATACCCCCAGCGGGAACCCCCCCTCCTCCCCCCTCCTGTGGTAGTTGCCAACGGTCGCTATTTAGCCGAATTTCTTACGCTTTATTCACCTCTCACTTTTCCTTGGGAACGCAGCCGTGCACCACCAATTTTGTGCACCAATAAGCCCTGAATCGAACGCCTTGGATCTCTCCGGACCTACACCAATCAGCCGTGCACCACTCGGCTTTGTCTTCCTCCGGCCTCGCATAGAACCTGCCGTGCACCACCAGGCCGCGGATCGAATATGACCTGTCTCTTATACACATCTAGATGTGTATAAGAGACAGGATCTGTCTTGAATAGTTGATCTGTCTTGAATAGTTGATCTGTCTTGAATAGTTGATCTGTCTTGAATAGTTGATCTGTCTTGAA